AAAGTTTTAAAATTATCTGATATAAATTCCAAGATGGCAAATTTCAAGTGATATAACCAGATATATTCTTTGGCATTCTCAGTATTTTTAAGACCATATAACAGCCCTAGAAACCCAAAGATTGAAAACCACTGATCTTAGCAACTAGAATAAATGTTAGCTTTTTGAAACATAATGGTTGCTCAGTAGCCACTAGCTTTCTTTCCAAAAGCATTTAAATGTCCTTAGGCTCACTACTCTTTGACAGGAACCCACTCCTCCTCTCTGGCTGTCCTAACATAACTGTCTGAATTTTCAGGTTCCAGAGACCTTTTCTTTTTCTTGTCCCTTTGGGTCTTAGCATGGTAGCAGCTCTGTTGTTATTTGTTCACAGTCCTGTGCTCCCTTCCAGTATCTCTGAATGCTACCCGCCACTGTGCTGTTAACTTCTTTGATGGTAATCTCATCTTGAATTACTCCAATTTGAGTGTGGGACTCCTGCTAAGAGTCATACAGTCATACCTCACTTAACAACTGAATACAGTCTGAAAACTGTGTTATTAGGCTGTTTTGTCATTGTGTGAACACCATCGGGTATACTTATACAAATCTAAGTGGCATACCCTGCTACTTCCCTACACTATATGGTGTAGATTATTGATTCTAAGCTATAAACATGTACAGCACCTTACTATATTAAAATCATAGGCAATTGTAACATGACGGTAAGTATGTGTGTATATAAACATATCTAACCACATAAAAAGTACAGTAAAAATATGGTATTGTAATACCACTTATGGTGCCACTGTCAAATATGTATTTTGTCATTGATGGAAACATTGTTATGTGGCACATTATATATATACACTTGCATACATGCAATGTACATGTGTGTGTATAAGCAGATGTGTATATACAACACAATATAGACCTCTTAATTTGCACTTAACAGAAATAGAAAATGACACACACAAAGGTTGAATAGTTACTTCCAGGGCACTAAGTTAGCACATGCAAAATCTATTTTATTACAAGCAGTCTCGCTGCAGAGCCTAATTAACCTCTTAAATAATTTTTATTCTATTAAACCAAAGTCTTATTGATATATCAATCATATTATTACCTTTAGAAATAAATTACTAATTGTATTTGTTTATGATCATAGGATTAGCTGCATCAACATACACCAACAACTCATAACTCTATTTTTAATCACACAGCATGTTTGCTGTTATGGCTTTTTTTTTTTTTTACCACGTATTACCCACCAGTAGTATAATATAGCAAAAAGAAGGAAAAAAAGAAAAGAAAGAAAAGAGCTACTAACATAAATTACTTCAACATAAATTATGATATGTGCAATAAAATATCTATTTTTATGGCTTGATAAGGCACTTACAATTTATTGTTTGGCATCAATGTAAACTTTCTACTCAATATAGTACTTCAACTTATATAAGCATTCCCCATTTTATTGTGTTTTACTTTATTGTGCTCCACAGATACTTCATTTTTTACAAATTGAGGGATCTGTGTTGACTCTTTGTCAAGCAAATGTCTTGGCACCATTTTCACAATAATCAGTGCTTACTTTGTTTCTATGCCACATTTTGATATTTCTCACAATATTTTGAACTTTATTATTACCTCTGTTATGGTGATATGTCATCTTTGATGTTATTATTATAATTGGTTTTGGGTGCCATGAACTGCACCCATGTAAAATAGCAAACTTACAATGTTGTGTGTGTTGTGTTTACTCCACTGACTGGATGTTCTATATATGGAACAATAAAGCTTTGATGGCAGCACATCTGTCTGCAATATGGTTTACTGAATATTTTAAACCCACCATTTAGCCATACTGCTAAAAAAAAAGATTTATTTCAAAATATTACTGCTTATTGGCAAGGCACTTGGTTACCCAAGAGCTAAGAGATGTACAAGGAGATAAATGTTACTTTTGTCACTCTAGCAACATTCATTGAGCAGCCCATAGAGGAAGTAGTAATTTTTACTTTCCAGTCTTATTATTTAAGAAATACATTTTGTATGAATATAGCTGCCATCGTGATTCTTCCAATGGATGTAAGTAAAGTGAATTGAAAACCTTCTGGAAAAGATTCATCATTCTAGATGCTATTAAGAAGATTTGTGATTCAGGTGATGAGGTCAAGATATCAACATTAACATGAGTTTAGAAGAATTTGATTCCAATCCTCATGGAGGACTTTGAGGGGTTTAAGACTTTCACAAAGAAAGTGACTGCAAATGTCATGGAAAAGCAAAAGACCTAGAATTAGAAGTGGTGCCTAAAAACATGACTGAACTGGTACAATCTCATAATAAAATGTCAATGGATGAGAATCTGCTTCTTCATTGTTGAAATGACAACAAAGGAGTTAGATTATCGCATAAATCTGGTTGATAAAGCAGAAGCAAGGTTTGAGAAAATTGATTCCAATTTTGAAATAAGTTTTACTCTGGGTAAAATAGTATCAAACAGCATCTCATGCTGCAGAGAAATCTTTCCTGAAAATAAGTAAATGGATGCAGAAAACTTTCCTCTTCTCTTATTTTAAGAAATTACCACAGTCACTCCAAACTTCAACAACCACCAGTCTAATCCATCAGCAGTCATCAACATGAAGGCAAAACTCAAAAAAGATTATTAGCACTGAAGTATTTTTAAGTAAAGGTATATACAATTTTTAGACAAAATGCTACTGTACACTATTAGCCTATAGTAAGTGTAAATATAACTTTTATATGCACTGGGAAGTCAAAAAATTGTGTAACTCTCATTGCAATATTCACTTCATTGAAGTGGTCTGGAACCAAATCCACAATATATTCCAGGTATGCTATATTTGCACAAATGTACATAAATACTACATCTGCATAAATCTATGTCATTAGGGTTTTGTTTTTATAAGTGAATTGAGCATTACTCTATAGGGTTCAGGAAACAAAAGTAACAATTTATTGATTGGCAAAATGCAGGGAATAGTGTTACTTACAACATGGGAAAACAAAATCTCTTAAGCTGCTTAAATGCTTCAATCATAAACCAACAAAACCATTTGTCATTTCGACTGGTAGTTTTGCACTATACCAGAAATACCAAGAATAGGTGTGTTTCTGGCAGCTAAGGTGTAAGCAATGTTGGGAAATCTCTGTGCTTTTTCCTACCAGCATCATAACTTCCCTCTTATTCCATTATACTCTTAATCATAATTCTAAAGTATTTTAAAATATAAATTGCAAGTGAACTCTTGAACTTCAAAAAAAAATATTATAATCATTATTTGCATTCTCAGGTAAATTAAGACATTTTAAAACATAGGGCTAGAAAGCTTCCTTTCCTTGTCTGTGATTTCAAGAGCCTTAAAAATAGCTTCTTACTCATTCTTCCCACATTTCTCACCTGCCAGTTTTCAGAATATTTTATTCATAAAACTAGCCATAAGGTAAAATCTTTTCTCCCACATCCTAAACAAAAGCTAAAGATAAAAACTCCCCAGGAGAGAAAACACTAAAATTAATTCATACTGAGGCATCAATGAGTGATTAAAACATATATATTGTTTTCCAAAGAGTAGGTTTTCATGTAATGAGAGACCTACAGGAATATGCCAAAAACAGTAGAGAAAAGAGGTCCACATGTTAAATAAAAGGTCCACATTAAAAATATCTGGAACCATCTCCAAATCATGACATGCTGTTCCAAATCTTGCCTAGTGATAAAAAGATCTAAAATAACTGTTGTTAAAATCTCAGCTTCCTGGCCTCACTCCAGAAATATTCAATCAAAATTTCAAAAGGAGAATCCTGATAATTTTGTTTTAAGTTGTATCCAAGAGGATTTGTTGTAATCAGGCAATTTTTGGAAGCATTGGTGTAGACAATATGGAAATGTGGCTGAGTTAACAACTAGAAATGTGGTCCTGATCATGTTTTCTTTGCCTCAGTTTTATTATTTAAAATATTAATAAAAGTGCTTTATTCACATGGTTGTTATAAAAACTAAATAATGTAATGCATATATAAGTGCCTGGAAATTATTAAGTACCCTAATAACAATCAGTCCCCTCTTTCGCCTCTGTCATGGTGTTATTACGAATTAGCATTATTACTGGTGCTGGGCTTCTCTAAATACTGTAGAATATTAGGCACTGACTGACAAGAGGCTCTCTATGGCCTTAGTACCAAAAACATTCATTTTTAACTTTCTATTTGAGATACATACAGTATGTATTATGAATTATATGACTATAACATGCTTCAACTGACTTTAAGTGATCGTTTAAATAGTTTTCCATCATATTTTAGAATTTGAGGTAGCACAAATTAAATATCATGTATAATTCAAATTACTCTCAATTCCTGTCTCTTTCAGAGCCAATGATTAACCCATCATTTCCTTTTGTATTTGCTTTTGAAGAATTAGGTGAAGGCTTCAGAGAAAAAAAGAAAAATCTAAATAGGTGAAAGCACCGTCTTGTGCTAGTTAAGAAAAATTCCATTGCAAATAAGCAGTTTAGCTCTGTGTTGGGAAGCAGGCCTAGCCACGGCACTGATGATAAAAAGTATAATGTCCTTAAACCATTATTTTTTTTATTGCATTTTAGGTTTTGGGGTACATGTGAAGAACATGCAAGATTGTTGCATAGATACACATGTGGCAGTGTGATTTGCTGCCTTTCTCCTCTTCACCTATATCTGGCATTTCTCCCCATGCTGTCTCTCAGCAACTCCCCACCCCATGCTGTCGCTACCCTTTTTCTCCCCAACAGACCCCAGTGTGTAGTGCTCCCCTCCCTGTGTCCATGTGTTCTCATTGTTTAACACCTGCCTATGAGTGAGAACATGTGGTTTTATTTGCACAAAGAAGGCATTTGGTAAACTTTATTGATAAACTAAACATACGTGAATATAAATCAGTAATGATTAGTAACAGACATGGATACTAATCAGTCTGTCACAGTAACACATTTTCCCAGAGCTTCACTTCCTACCTTTAATATACGTTGTATTCTACTTGACCATGTAATACATGCATCTATGTGCAATTCTTTTCTTCCTTAGCAGATATTAAGTTCCTTGAAGGTAAAAAAAATTGAATTCATTTTTGCATCATATGTAAACCATCTTATTCATAGTATAAGCTACATGAACTTTGTGGAATTGACTCAACGTAGCCTCCACAAGCTATTTATTGATTCTTTTACTAATTTTTGTGAACTATGTGTTTTTCCATTTTTACTTGACAAATTCAGTTAATTCAACAGATACTACTATCTTGCCATAAGTTTTTTTGTTTCTTGACTACAAACAGTAGCTGTTCATGTTCTTTTTGTAACACAACTGTACAAACAAAAAATACATCATGCCAGATATGTTATTTGCTAGATACTGGTGAAGCTAATATAGGATATTCAGTTTTCTGATATTTATTCCAGTGTGATATTTAATTCATGACGATGTAAATCACTGAGATAGAAAACAGTCTAGAGAGATGCTTCTTCCTTACATGGGAAGAAGGTATGTGTGCATACCACATTCCATATGTTGTAAGAAATATTTACATATATATGATGTCACATCCTTACCTCAATTATAAGAAGTAAAAATGATTATCCTCATTTTGCATTAAAAAAAATGGAAGCCAGAGAGATAATTTGAATAAATTATGCAGTTAATACTACGGTTGGGATTTGAAACCAGATCTGCCCTTTTCCAAACACAAATTTCTAACTTCTTCCAACACAACCTTGAAGTACAGGTTAGAATCACAATGGAGAGAATACCTGATTTTCACTTTATCCTCCAAGACTATCAATTGCCATTTCTCATAATTTTATTAAGCAACTGGTGTCTATTCAATTGACAGCTTAGTATTTCTCCTTTGATAACCTTCCTCCTATCTGTTTGTTGCCTTCTGAAAAGTGTCATTGCCAAGCCTTTAAAATGTATCTTTTCCTTTGTTGCCTTCTATCCCTATTCTATTGGCCTTTTGATGCCCAGTTAGACATCCAGGGTGTAATTCACTGAATGGGCATCTGATTCTTATCTATTTTCAAATACTTTAAAGCCAATATGTTTAATTTGCTGTAGGCAATATTTCATAATGAGAAACTTGTTCATAACAGCTGTAAATGAAAAGACATCATGTAGAATTGCTGTGGGTTCATTTTCTCCCAGTTTTAATTTAGCCTATTAACTTTTGAGGACAGCATTACTGATTTCTTATTTCATCAGTTCTTTGAAATTGATTCTACTTGTGGTCCAAATGTGAATTTCTTGACTGATAGCCCATTTGGCCAATGACATAGTCAATACTAGCATTTAAATAGATTTCAAATATCAGAAATGTGTATTTTCACAGTTGAAATAATAAGTAGCATTGGACACTTTCCTGATAGTAATAAAGTTCAAGGTATTTTCATCCAATACCACCTGAATATAAACCAAGGAAAGAGTACTTCTATTTCACAGTTAACACATAATAAATTAGAAGCATTTACAAGTTACAAAAATAGGATTTACATGTAGAACACAATCACAATCAGAATTATATTAGCCAAATATATGTGGTAATGATGAGTAGGGGGTATATTAGTCTGTTTTCAATGCTGATAAAGACATACCCAAGCAAGACTGGGCAATTTACAAAAGAATTTTATTGAACTCACAGTTCCATGTGGCTGGCCAGGCTTCACAATCATAGTGGAAGGCAAAATGCACTTCTTACATGGTGGTGGCAAGAGATAGGAGCTGGTGCAGAGAAACTCCAATTTTTTAAAACCATCATGTCTTCTGAGACCCAATCCCTATCATGAGAACAGCATGGGAAAGACCCACTCCCATAATTCAATCATCTCCCACTGGGTCCTTCACACACATGTGGGAATTATGGGATGAGATTTGTGTGGAGATACAGAGTCAAACCATACCATTCCACCCCTGCCCCATCCCAATCTCATATCTAAACATTTCAAAACCAATCACACCTTTCCAACAGTACCCCAAAGTCTTAACTAATTTCAGCATTAACTCAAAAATCCACAGTTCAAACTCCCATCCCAGACAAGGCAAGTCACTTCTTCCCATGAGCCTATAAAATCAAAAGTAAGTTAGTTACTTCCTAGGCAATGGGGGTATAGGCATTGGGTAAATACAGCCATTCCAAATGGGATAAATTGGCCAAAACAAAGGGGTTACAGGCCCCATGCAAGTCTAAAATCCAGCAAGGCAGTCAAATCTTAATGCCCTAAAATGATCCCCCTTGACTCCATGTCTCACATCCAGGTCACCCAGATGCAAAAGGTAGGTTCTCATTATCTTGAGCAGCTCTGCCTCTGTGGCTTTGCAGGGTACAGCCTTCATCCTGTCTGTTTTCACAGGCTGGCATTAGTGTCTGTGGCTTTTCCAGGTGCATGGTGTAAGCTGTCAGTGGATCTACCATTTTGAGGTCTGGAGGATGGTGGTCCTCTTCTCACAGCTGCACTAGGTGGTGCCCTAGTAGGGACTTTGTGCAGGGGCTCTGACCTCCCATATCCTTTCTGCACTGCCCTAGCAGAGGTTGTCTATGAAACCCTGACCCCTGCAGCAGACTTCTGCCTGGACATCCAGGTATTTTCATACATCCTCTGAAATATATGTGAAGGTTCCCAAACCCCAATTCTTAACTTCTATGCACTTTCAGACTCAATACCATGTGGAAGCTGCCAAGACTTGAGGTTTGCACCCACTAAAGCCATGGCCCAAGCTCTACATTGGCCCCTCTCAGTGATGGTTAGAGTGGCTGTGATGTAGGGCACCAAGTCCCTAGGCTTCAAACAGCACAGAGTCCCTGGGCCTAGCCCAGGAAACCACCTTTTCCTCCTAGGCCTCCAGGCCTTTGATGTGAGGGGTGGCTGTGCAGACCACTGACAGGCCCTGGAGACATTTTACCCATTGTATTGGCGATTAACATTCAGCTCCTCATTACTTATGCAAATCCCTGCAGCCAGCTTGAATTTCTCCTCAGAACATTGTATTTTCTTTTCTATCACATTGTCAGGCTGCAAATTTTTTGAACTTTTATGCTCTGCTTCCCTTATAAAACTGAGTGTTTTTAATAGCACCCAAGTCTCCCCTTGAATTCTTTGCTGCTTAGAAATTTATTCTACCAGATATCCTAAATCATCTCACTCAAGTTCAAAGTTCCACAAATCTCTAGGGCAGGGGCAAAATGCCACCCAGTTTCTTCACTGAAACATAACAAGAGTCACCTTTGCTCCAGTTCCCAACAAGTTCCTCATCTCCATCGAAGACCACCTCAGCCTGAACTTTATTGTTCGTATCACTATTAGCATTTTGGGCAAAGCTATTCAACAAATCTTCAGGAATTCCAAACTTTCCCATATTTTACTGTCTTCTTCTGAGACCTCCAAACTGTTCCAACCTCTGCCTGTTACCTAGTTCCAAAGTCACTGCCACATTTTCAGGCTTCCAGCAACACCCCACTCTCCTGGTACCAATTTATTGTATTAATCTGCTTTTAGGCTGCTGATAAAGACATACCCAAGGCTGGGCAATTTACACAAAAAAAGAAGTATATTGGACTCAGATTTCCACTTGGCTGGGGAGGCCACACAATTATGGTGGAAGGCAAAAGTGTTTCTTATATGGTAGAAAGAGAGAAAGGCTGGTTCAGGAAAACTCCCATTTTTAAAACCATCAGATTTCATAAGACCTATTCACTAATAGGAGAACAGCATGGGAAAGATCCATCCCCATTATTCAGTAATCCCCACCAGATACCTCATAACAAATGGGAATTATGGGAGCTACAAGATGAGATTTGTTTGGGGACACAGAGCAAACCATATCAGGTAGGTGTCGGGATGAATGCTGGTGGCTTTCCAGACTTTGCTTACTGTAAAAAAAGAATCTTTATTCTAATAATTGGGTAGACTCAGCTCTTCACAAATGTTTTATGTAACATACCTAGATCACTCTTTAATTCAACACTTTTTAAAGACAACACAGATACATTGTTGGAAATCACAAGAAAAGCATTGTATATACCATAGTATTTTAATATATCATCTACCATAGCCATTTTATGCAATTAGGTGTTTTTATTCAGCTTCAAAGTTTTCAGTTCTTTTTTTCCTAATGGTACTTGAACCAGGATGCTTAAAAGAACAAGCTCTAAGAAGTCTAAAAAGGGACCCATTCTGACGGGACCAATGTTGCTTGAATCCCCTACAATCTTCTCAGCATCAGAATTATTTTGCTGAACAGCAATAGGTTTTTTCTTTGTTATGAGCTGTAGTTTTCTGCCTCATTAATCAGAGGGTTCTATGAATATAATTCACCAACCAGCTACACTCACTTTTTGGAATCTGTATTTTTATGTGTTCAATGTTTGTTAGCCTTAATATTTGTTATTGGAATTATCACCTTTACAAATATAAAAAGAGGGTTTTTTAGTTTTTTTCGGGGGGGAGTAAACCAACCTCCTGATTTAAGCCCAGATTTAAATATAGATCTCCTATTTTCTTAACACCATAGTAGTTCCCTGTAGCATCTGTAAGCATCACTTGAGAATAGAATATATTGGAACATAGCCTATTTATCACTTAATATGAAATTGATTTAGTTATTTGTAAATATAACACGGATAGAAAAGAGTGACTTCACCCAACTGAATAGTCTGAACTGAAAAATATTTTTAATGGCATTGTACTCCACACAGCAAAAACATTAATAAATTTTTGAACTCTGTAACTCAGAAAAAGGGACCATGAAGTGTATGACATTAAGCATCTTTCTGTCTAAATTGATTTAGAAACATGGTTCCTCCAAAATATGTTCAAATATTCCATGCCATTAAACTGGGACTTAAAAAAATTGATGACAAATAAAACAAAAATTTTAACTAAGGGCAAGGTCTTTAATTTTAATTTAAGCACATGAGCAGATGTGACAGGGAGGAGTCTAGACTGGAATAAGTTCCAGATGGAGTGCCTACGTCAATAAAAAACGCTGTGAAGAGTTAGTGGCAAGTGAAATTCCAGCACTTGAAAACTGAACATTTTTAATTACTTTAATAATAAAACATAGCTAACATGGCTGGGATGTTTTCACTATTTTAACACTATTTAAGCAATAAGAACACTGAAGAGATTCTAAATTGGTCAGAGAGCAAAAGAATACAAAATTGTTAGAGTTAAAAGCAATTTTGAAAATTTTCTAGTCAAGTAAACTTATTTTTAAAAAATAAAGAAATGTACACGTTAGATGACTTCACTATATGGGAGTATAAATAAGTGACAGATGAGGTCTAGAAATAATCTCCTGTCCAATTGTGGGGATGAGGTACTCTAGATTGATTTTAGGTTGCTGTATATTTAATGTATAATTAATTTTAATCCATGAATCAATTTTGAGTTTTTGGTTTACTTGTAACAACTATTTTGTAACTATTTTAGGATAAGGTAATATAACACGTATGCTAATTACTCATCTTTAGTTTATTTTCTCTTTGTAAATCATTGTGCCTTACTTAAGCACTTTTAGTGCTTCATGTATCACAACCTCAGCATGATTAATTTGTCCCTAGATATAAAATATCAATATTACTAGTTATTTCATCTTCAATAACAAATTACATAAGTAAAATATGCATTTGCCTTTTTATGACTGATAATTTTAGATTTTACCCTACCATATTATTGGTTCTCTCATTTCAAAAAAAATAAGTAGTTAAAGAATAATCCAGAGGGGATACTTTCAAGTTTTGACTTTAAAAATATCACCAACTTTTAAAATATTTTTCATACACACAGATTTGAATGCTACTTCTGAAGCCACCCCCCCCCCACACACACACACCTAATGCTTCCTAACCTTTCCTCTGATTGTTCTTACTTTCCTATTCAGAAATAACTTCTTCTGAGTCAAGGCATTGTCTTCATATGGTATCTGCTGTGATGAACACGTGTTTCCTGAGAAAAGTGGACATTCTGAGTCATGAAAGTGTAAGTAAAGAAATGAATATGATTCAAGAAATCCAAGTCTGTGACCTACAGCTTCAGAGTAAGAACTCCAGTGGTTTTCTGTGTCAAGGACTGGGCCTTGTGATATTTTACTTGCTTGAAAAATTATCTTAGTTGGGCTGGAAAGTCCAAGTGGGTCCCACTGGAGGAAGCCCTAGGCTATTTGATTACAAAGGTCCAGAAAGGATAGGGCACAACAATTACTTTGAAAAAAAAAAAAAGAGTACACAATGCTGGGATGTGGATGGAGTGCTATCAGAGGCAAGGGCCCTATTTTGCTATTTTGTCACAGGCTGATGATGGCAGATTCGGTTCAATGTCTTCAGTTTTGACCTGGTCTGACCCTCAAACTTCTGCCTAAAGTGTTCCCATATCTACAAACACAAGCCCTAACAGAGTCTGCATTTTAAAAAATCTGCTGTAGCTGTATATGTTTTTTTTAACCCTATGTCCAAAGAGCAGTCCTAAATATCATCATCTATCTTTCACCAGGGTTGTACCAGCACAGTCGTCAATGATCTTCCTGCTTCTGATTTATCAAATATGATCTATTTTTTACACCACTGGACCTTTAAATGAATAGGTACCTTCAAGTTTAATGCCCAAGAGGATCCACAAGTGTATGAAAATATTACCCATTTGACTTAAAGTTTTATAAACACAGAAGAAAATTTACATTAGTTATCACTATTTTATATCCATACTGACACAGACCCTGGTTCTCTCACTTTGTTTACCAGGTTTCCCATTAAACAAATACCCTGCAGAGAGGATTAGATGTACAACAGCATAGAGGGTCACCGTGAAACCCAGTGTCCATGTTCTTACGTCCCTTTGGTTGCATTGCAAACAATACAGTATACATGTGTTCTATTAAGTTGTTATAAAGATTGCATTACCTGGTTTTATCCCCCCAAAAAAGATTAATCTAAATTGAACAGATAGCTTAAAAAGTGTTTTTCCTCAGAGCCACTGTTGGATTAATGAAGTAAGTAGAAACACATCAAGGAAACATCCATGTGAGTATCCTTCTTACTCCTTGTGGGCTCTTTATCATCTAGATTACAAAATAGAGTAAAACAAATGTAATTTAATCATACCTACATACAAACATACTATAAATGCAGGGACTGTGGTCAAAATAATGTATTAATAGAGATATGTGATCAGAAATATTTAAATAACACATCCAGAGCTAGAGTGACATTTCTAAAACACCATTATGATTATATCATTTATTTGCTTAAAACATTTACATGGTTATCCAATTTTGGGGATGAAATTCAAATTCTTTGCCCTAGCATTCAAATCATTTTATGGAATGTCCCCTGATTACTTCTCCACATTAATATTTCACTTATTACTCTAAATACTGCATATTTTGTTATGCCTGCACATCAACTGTTAATGCCCAGCACACCCATTTTCTACCCTTTGGAGGTGCCCAAAAACTATAGAAAATGCTGTCATTTCTTAGTCTTATGAAACAGGTACTTTCAGAAATTAACCAGACTGTCTAGCAAAGGTGGTTGGTCTAGTAAAGAATAATTTTCATGCTATGAATTTCAGCATGCAATTAGTAAAATTTTAGCAATAATATGAAGGAAGAGGAAGCTAAATGAAGAACTTTCATTACCCTTTACATGCCACGTTCTCTGTATTCAGTGGTACTACCTCTTCAATGGTACTTCTTCAACAAGTTAATATTTGTCCCATTCTCAAGCCTCAACCTGCATGTCAACATTTTCTAGGAAGCCTTTTCTGATATAAGATGTCTTCTATGCGTTCTTCTGGCAACCTCTGCTTATCCTCGTCAAAGCATTTGTCTTTTAATGAGATTGTGAACTTCTTCCTGGCAGTCTACTTGTCTAACTCACACTTGTATCTCTAGAAGTTAACACAGTACCTTGAACACAGTGGAAGATTAATTCATATTTGTAGAATAGATGAATGAAAACAAATTTAGCATGTTCTTTGTCTTAAAAAATAAGCTCTTAATTTCAAGGTTAAATAGAAGTAAATATGATAATCTAGAATATTATGTTTTCTTGACATTCCCTTTTCCTTCAAAAGATTTTCCACTTTTAAGCCATCCCTTTTTTGCCTTATAACATCTCTTCCCCCCTCAAACAGTTCTCAAATCTAACTTTGATTCAGAGGCTAACCTCTGAATTGTAACAAAAGGAGTACTTCTTCCAATTATTATTTGATACAAATAATTTATACAGCATTATTCTATTTTCACAGAGCTTCATGTGCAATTACTGTCAAGAGAAATATGAGACAGTGAAATGACAGGATTTAGGACAGATGTTGCTGGATATGTGGCTTTTCTGTGTCCGAAGTAGGGCAATGATACTAAAATAAGCTTCCACATTTGTAAGGTAACTTACACCAGCTTTGCTTAACAAATGTCTCATTGAACACTAACCATAATTCCTTGAGGTAAACTTGGAAATTTCTTTATCTTCTTCCTCACCCATACAGATACATATAGGGCACACAAACACAATTTATGGTTGAGAAAAATTAGGGTTAGAATTTAAGCCACCTAGTTGTGTCCACATAAACAGTATGAATGAACACCCTGGGCTTCCTGATAACTAGGTCAGGGTTCATTATCTTGCATTAGACTAGAATGTTATAGCTCTTCTCTCTTCTGGCTTAAGCAGATTATGTAACTATTACATCTTCCTATCCCATCCACCACATCAGTGCAAGAAAATTAGGGCCATACACAGAATAGTCCATGTGAATCACTGCCCTGTAACTGCAGAGAAAATGTGCTGATCAGTGGGAAGCAGCAGTTTTTCCACAATCCTCTGTCCATGCTTAGATATTTTAACACATTAAACATGAAAGCCTTGATCTACAGAAAAACAGCAGCCCACCTTTTAATTTCTCACAGCCAAACAAGAACAAGCTGTGATATGCCCATTCATTAAAAGCTCTCATTACATTTTAATCGTGCCAGAAGCTGCATAGAAGTTTTGAAGACATCAGTATGGTTATTCATTTGTAATTTCAGAGAGAATTAAAGGAAGACGGAGTGCCAAAACCTACAGTTTAGCCTCTTCTATAGAAGGAAAGACTCTGAAGTTCTTTTTCATCAACTGAATCATATTAGTTCTCTTGACTAAAACTCACCATTATATTACAAATTTAAAAATACCGTTATATACAAACCTGTCTTCCTATGCACTGCCCTATTGTTTTTACATATATCTGATTAATTTTTCAAATAATTGTCTGCATCTCCATTTCACAAGTAATAAAATTGAAGCTCAGGCAGGTTGTCCATTGATGTTCAGCTAGGAAGTCATGAAGATTCGAGCTCGAATTTTTCTGATATCCAAGTCCATCCTCTTAAGTGCATTGATATTACGTTTCACATGGAATAGGACCATGGACATAATTGAAGTAGAGAAAGGTGTTTCACCCAATAGAGAACTGTAGTTAATAGATTTGTTCACCATCACATAAAGATAATTGTAAGAAATATCTCCCTCAAGATTAGCAATGCTTTCTTTGAGTGGAGCACATTATATAAAGTGTAATGAACTGTTTTGTTTTACTCCTGCCAGTAGGATCTTCTCTCACAAGGACACCACCCTTGCACAGCTAGGTCATTCTCTTTGCCAACTACCCTCAGGTATTTCAGCCCTTCATGTACCCTGAAAAATTCATCTTTCAGTTTTTATTCAACCTTATGCTGCAGAGAAGTAGAAGAGGCACTCATATTCAAAGGATCCTTTCCAGCTTTCGAGGGTATAACAGAGATGCTCTTTTCCCAATTCTTTCTGCATCCATTGTCCTAAACACCTTAGTACCACAGGAGCTTCAGTCTAGTCCCTGGTGGTGCTTTCTGCACCTTAATTATGAATTTTGTGTTAAGATTCTATCTAACATCTGATCATAAATAATATATATTATGCAAACACTGGATTTCCTTTTTCCCTTACCCCATACTTTCTTTATACCTTCCTTCTGAAGTAACAAATCAAGGGAAAAAGCATTAAGAAGAGAAATACATTTTAAAGGCATACTAGTACAAAGAAAATAATGCAGTGGTTTGTTCAAAGTCTGCAAAGGAATGATTTTTTCTTTGTTATTTTTGCTTAGTTATGTCTTATAGATATTTTTCCCTGAAGGTGCTAAAGAAACTAAAATGGCTTCTAAGATTTGCATCTGTTTACAGAAAAGTTGTAGGAGTGAGACACAGAACTATGAAGTCTTATGCTGCTTCTCCAGGCAAGATGCAGGATTCAGGGAGAGAATAAAGGTAATAAAAGACAGGAAAAAAAAAAATAGAAAAAATGGAGAAAAGAAAGGGTGACAAGAAAAAGAAACAGATAAATTTCTGAGATTATTAAACAGGAACAGCAAAAAAAAATTGTTTTGTGCCATTTCCTAGACTCTATCTCTATCTGTATCTGTAATTACAAAGTAGAATAATTATTATTTTGCAGATAGAGGTTTAATCACACTAAATATACTGTAAATATATTGTAAACCTAAATAATTATGTATATATGTACACATACACATATACACACACACACACACATATATATATCTATATATCTCCTGTAGAAAGTAGAGTTATATATATATATAACTCCTTTATACATTTTGGAAATTTAAGAAAAGTCTTTAGAGAGTTGAAAACAAAAGAATCTCATAGCCAGTAAAATGGAAGACCAAAACTTGATCATGTCAATGCTTATCTCTAAGTTATTATTCTATGTGGCCACTCTAATTAGTCTATAACATCTGTTTCTATACAGCATAGGGGCATTCTTTTGTTAACTATTAACCTTCTCTTTCACTTTCCATTTCCCCTCAATTTCTTCAACATAGAAATGATAAGTAAATATCATTCTTTCTGTCCATATGTACTTGATGTTCAGCCCCTACTTCTAAGCAAGAATATGTGGTATTTGCTTTTCTGTTCCTGTGTTTTTCTTAGGATAATGGCCTCCTATTCCATCCACGTTGCTGCAAAGAATGGAACAACAGACACTGGGGCCTAACAACACGTCGGGAGGAGGGTGAGGATAGAAAAACTACCTATTGGACACTATGCTTATTATCTGGGTGACAAAATAATCTGTACACCAAATCTCCACAACATGCAATTTACCCATGTAACAAATCTGCACGTGCACCCTGAGCCTATAAGTTAAATATATATATACATTAAAAAAATCATTATGTTGGGTTGTGTGTGTATGTGTGTGTGTGTGTGTGTGTGTGTGTGTGTGTGTGTGTGTATCAGAGAGAGAGAGAGAGAAAAAAGAGATAGAGATGGGAGTATGGGGAAGAGACAGCAGGCATGTCTATATAAATGGGAAATCTTTGGAGATGCTGAGAAAATAGAAGTCATATCAAGGAGTCCAGGACAATGTTTTACGGAGTAAGAGAGCCACAGATAATTCATCAGATGCCTTGGACTATCTGACTCTATTGTAGGAACTGATGGATATTAGGAAGTTATGAGAGCATTTGCAGAGGTTTTTAGCTTCACATATTTTCCTGGCCTCCTATAGAAAAGGAAGAGCCAAAGTTAAAGCAAAATCTCTGTATCAGCCAGGGGACCTACTTATATATTTTCTCTGGTACACAACTTTGTGTACTTTCTCTGGTACACAACTTATATATTTTCTCTGGTAGACAACAAAGTTGTCTACCTCCCAGAGAAAAGAATAAATCATTAGGCAGAAATCTTCGCCTACTCCTATTTGACATTGTTCTACTAAAAACTAGAAGAAACCATCTTTCTGTTCAAACCTAATACCACTGCTGATTTTGCTTCTTTTCTAAAAGATGTGAAGTCCATAACCAATTCAGATAAAATTAAAGACATATTTTACTCCATACATTTTCTCTCATTTTTTATGGCAATACATTTTTTTACAGAGGTATTCCTGTGAAAAAGTGAAACAGTTGCACCTTTCTCCTGATCTCAACAATTCTGATTTTACCTTTTAGGTTGATCATTCAAAAGTGTTTCTGTGGTGACCACAATTTCACCAAGTGCATAAGAAAGTAAATATCATAAACATAAGAACAATTTGAGTCATCCAGTTTATTTCGCAGAATAGTAAGGCCTGACTGTCTTATCCATTGGGACTATCAATGTTTGTGTTCTGATGTTTCTCTGACTCCCCTTCTTGACATATTCCATTTTTTTGGCTGAAATTCAATATATTACTTCTAATATCTAATTTAAATATTTTAACTTTATGTGATAGGACACATTTTGCTTCCAGTTTTCAAAATGCCTCATCCTCTCTAATTATTTCAAGTCCATTTATTTTATTTACTTAATTATTTGGGAAACTAGACATTTGGTATTCAATACCAAAATAAAATATATATTCAATGTTAAAAAAACTATTCTTTATCAGGATTGTAGCTCCTTTACCTTATTAATCAATAAATATAAGATTATCTAATATGCTATATATTTTGCTTAATCATTGCATCTATCATCTTACAATAGGCTTACTGAAAGTAGAAAGTTTTTAATGAGTTGTCTACTATATTGCTATCTCTAGAGCAAGAAATTGTGCCAGATGCAAAATTAAGTAGCTACTCAATCAATATTGCTTTGATAGCAAAATTGATAATGACTGAGTCCTAACATGTTATATAAATTAATAAGGCACAATCAATGCCATAGATAATTTATATTCATAGAAATGATAGAAGTACATAGAAATGAACACTTATAATTAATATTTATTGAACTTTTTGGCACCTTACTTGTATTTGATAAATTGAAAATTAATTATCCAAATAATAAAATGCTATTTACATTTAATAATGTCAAAGAGCCTTTCAATGACAAATTGATATAATAATAATTATTAATATTACTGAATTTGGCCTACTGAGCCATAATGGTCACACTCACATGACAGAGAAACTAGGAAATGTAACTTTTTATTGTTGTTATCATTGTGCTTAAAACACAGCTCATTGCTCTCTTCCACAAAAGTGAAAGTTTGTTAGTGAGGAAGAAGGGAAAGATGGATACCAAGTGTTCAAACCCTGCCTCCTCCAGAAGTGTTCTCTCATTACCCCTTCTCATACTGACCATTCCATCTCTTAACATCAATTCTGACTCCATGGTTCATACAGATCACTACTTGGTTTCACAATGTCTTGTAAGCACTCTTATTTTTGTGGCAGTTTATTTCCTGAAATAGATATTATGTGAAGCTGTTGCAGAAAGGATGATATTTGAGTTCTGATTTAGCTACAAAAGAAAAGTCTCTTGAAACAAACAGTGGCATAGCATTGTTACCTTGTTAGAATTTCTACTGAAGACATTTGTCTCTAAGGACTCCTACAAAGGGAATGAAACACGTATCCTCACATAACTCACAGAGATGTGGCTAATGGTCCTTTGACAGTCTCTTCCTTCTTACAAAACCAAAAGACTAGAAATGCACAATTATTGATTGAAGTAATGAATTGTTAGCCTAGGGGAATGTGCTTTGTAAGTTTTCTTCACCATCTCCTAAGTAGAGAAAGACTCTTCAAAGCAAGTGAAAATCCATAAGAGAGGTCATAATTACTTTAAAAAAAGAAGAGTTAGGCAATACACTCCCTTCCTAGATGCCTACTTACCCAATTTTTACAATGTTCCTCATTAAGTGTCTAGAGCAGAACTTAGTGCTTTTCCAAGTGAGCGCAACATGTGTCCTCTGCAGTCTGAGGGGCATACATTAACATAAAAGCTGGAATCTATTTTCTTCCTAAAGGATTTTGAAAGAAGAAGCTGGTGGGAAATTCTAGTATTTGTCCTGACAATGGCACATGAATTTTTACTATGTGGATACTAGACACTTCTCAAAAGAAGACATTTACATGGCCAAGAAAAACATACAAAAGAAAGTTCAACATCACTGATCGTCAAAGAAATGCAAATCAAAACAACAATGAGATCCCACCTCATGCCTGTCAGAATGGCAATTATTAAAAAGTCAGAAAACAATAGATGTTGGAAAGGCTGTGGAGAAATAGGAATGCTTTTACACTGTTGGTAGGAATGTAAATTAGTTCAATCGTTGTGGAAGATAGTATGCCAATCCCTCAAGGATATAGAAGAAAATGTATCTAGAGGAATCCTTAAGGATCTAAAATCAGAAATACCATTTGATTCAGCAATCCCATTACTGAGTATGTACCCAAAAGAATATATTAATTCTACTACAAAGACACATGCACACATATATTTATTACAGCAGAATTTACAATAGCAAAGACATAGAGCCAACACAAATGCTCATCAAGGATAAAGAAAATGTGGTGCATATACACGGCAGAATACTATGCAGCCTTAAAAAGAAAGGAGATCATGTCCTTTTCAGGGACATGGATGAAGCTGGAAGCCATCATCCTCAGCAAACTAACTCAGGGACAGAAAACCAAACACTGCATGTTGTCACTCACAAGTAGGAGTTGAACATTGAGAATACATGGGCACAGAGAGGAGAACAACACATACTAGGGCCTGTGGGGCTGGGAGTTGAGAGTAGAAAACTCAGAGGTCAATAGGTACAGCAAACCGCAATGGCACATATATACCTATGTTACAAATCTGCATTTTCTGCACATGTATCGTGTGTGTGTGTGTGTGTGTGTGTGTGTGTGTGTTTTAGGAAGAAATTTAAAAAAACAATGACTAGGTTTACACCACCTTGATACTACCTACATAAGAGGGTGGGCACTATTGACTTAAAACTGAAGTTTTGATTTGAGTTGAAATAGAGTTTTAATATCTATAAATGGCTTTCCATAAGGAAAATGAGACTGTTGTTACGATTAAAAGAGACAAGAAAGCAATGAGCACTACGTGAGCTATAGTCAGTGTAGGGAAGGACTATTCAACAGTAAGGAAGGGCTATTCAAAGGACTGTTTATGAAATTAATTGTGGGAAAAAAATGAAAGGTCTTCTATTTCTACCTAATTGAGTTTTATCTTTTCAAAAATGGCTACCTCTATAAATGAAAAATTCAGAACCATATGCTTGCCATAAGAATCAGGTTTTAGGCATGCCCAAGAATATGCCTTCCTTTATATGTTTTCTGCTCATTAGAGGGGTCATCTTCAATTTCATCTCCTCCTACTTGTTTAGCTCCCAAAGTTTATCTGAAACACTCCTTTATCCCTGAAGGGGTGTTTGATTTCTACTATTCTCCACCTCCACGCCTTTAGTTGTGGTATCCATCTCCTCCTTTACAAACACTTACTAAGCACTTACTTTTATAAACTTCTTGATATTTAACATAAAAATTAAAAAGAAGTAAATGTCATTAAGAAGCTTATTGTTTAATGGAGAAATGGTCACATAAAAAAATCACTTCAGTGTAGTGTATAGGTGAACGCATACAAAGTGGAAACTCAGAGCAGTTCTTCTTTTCCATAGGCCAAAGGACAAGAAGTCAGCATTGAAGAAACCTTCAGAGAGAAGGAGATGCTCGAAGTGGGTTCTGAAGCACACTTTTGGCTAATCATATCTATTTTCTTGCTCTAACTTAGATAATTTATTAGATAAAAGACAACTTCTGTCCATCTAAAACTTAAAATAATATAGGAATCGACTATGGTTATATGAAAAGCCTATAATATTCCAATGACATGAAATACAAATTTTTAGAGGTATAGAATCTGTGAGGAAAGAAGTGATTTGGTAGCATAACAGAAGGAAATGAGACATGAGAGTTGAAACTAAACTACATTAATTCCAGAACATAGGAGTTAAATTCTGGAAACTATTTTACCTAAAGATCATAGAGTGGTCTTGAATACAGAACCTCACTTTAGCTTCGATTCTTACACAGCCTAGCATTTTCCCTCTTCTCTTCTTGAGTAATTTGAGATGTCTCTTAAGTTCTTCACAGTCAATGCTGCCTTCTTTTGCCATAGTATATGGATTTCTGTGGCTTGTGAATAAAACATGGCAACAGATATGTAAATATATAAATTAAAAGTTGCATATGAAACATGTTATTAGTAGAGACAAAAGCATACCTTAGTGAAAGAAGAGAAAGCTAATGTACTTTAAATATCTTGAGGACAAGTAGCATCTTTTTTGTCTTAACTTTTATGACCTATATGTGTAGAAAATTATCTTGCAAATTATCTTTTCTCTACTAATGTTTACAAGAGCTTCTGTAAAATTAATTATTTGTATATATTTTTATGATCTGTACTGTAGAAAAGGTGAGGATATAACACTTAATAAGACAAAATCATCGTTTTTAAAAAATTTACTATCTTTCAGGAAAGAGAAACACCAAATAGCTAATAGTAATGCAGGGCAAATGCAGAGATAGCAGCAAAATTCAAATAATTTAACATCTGTGAAAAAGAAATATTTGCTATATAAGGGTAAAGGAAGATATTAAAAGACTTCTTTATATATTTAATCTTGATTTATTTCATTTGTGACTATTTCTCCATAGTCGCCCTCACTTACACTTTTAAAAAGGGTTTACCAAAACCACATGAGTGAAGAGGAAATACTACTCACCTGCTGTGTGACTTTGGGCTGGCACCTACCTCTCTGGGCTTTCCTCCATCTGTTGAGTGGAGACTATAGAAGTACCCGCCTTGGAGTTCATCTGTAAGGCTTAAATGAGGCCATGCCCATTATGGCAGCTGTAGGTGGAAGTCATTCTCTCACCGATACACCAGGGCCCAGCCCTGTAATGCATAGCAGTCCCCTCCTCTTCTCCTGAGCTCTCACTGCCGGGAGTTCCTCCCCTTTTCTCTCCACCCTTCTATATCTTAAGTGCCAAATTTGAGGTCCCCTGAGAAGTTTCCACAAGTCTCCCCACCCCACTAGTTAACCTCTTCATGATACCAGGCCATTTCCTGGAAAGGTAAGAAAGATTTTGGCCGGACAGGCCTGAGTTCCTAGCTTGACTCCACCTTCCTCTGCCTCTTGGTGATTTTAGAAGAGTCCCTGGATCACTTGAAGCTTCAGTTTTCTCATATGTAGAATAGAACCAGAATTAAATAAGATAATGAAAGAAAGCATTTAGCACAATGGACTCAAATCAATGTTATGAGCACTTCGGCACAGATCCCACCACTTGGCTGCAAATTGTCCACCTGAAGTTTATTTAGACCAAAGGCCAGCAAACTTCTTCTGTAGGGAGCCAGAGAGTAAATATTTCAGGCTGTATAGGCTAGAAGGTCTCTGTTGCAGCTACTCAGCTCTGCCTTTATGCAAAATCAGCCATAGACAATATACAAATGGGAGAGGCTATGTTCCAGTAAAGCCTCGTTTACTTAAACAGGTGATGGGCTTGTTTTGGCCCATGGGCCATAGTTTTCCAGCCCCTAATCTAGACCAATCTTCTCACTCAACAAAAAGAGGAGAAAGAATCTCAGAGCTAGCAGGTCACCCACCTTGGGTGTTTGAGTAGGCAGACAGGAAGGGAGCCCAACTCTGAGGATTCTGTCCTGAATTATTCTCTTCTTGTCCCAAATGGGTTTCATGTTTTTTCCTCCATTGGTCTGTCAGTTGCACACGTGCTAGTTACTCATTAAATATTCATTTGATTGGTTTAATATCACAATACATCTTTCATACCATCTTGGAAGCTTCTGGATATATTCTTGGGAAAAGGCTCTGAAATAAGAGGCAAAGAAGGGATCATGAGCTGGCCCAAAGTCCCCAGTAAGTGAGGGGCTCCCAGTTTCCAGTCCTGGAGGAGACTGTCAGCATGACAAGGACAGTCTCACAGCACCAGGCACCAGTGTGGCCATGCTCTGCAGCTGTAAATTCTTCCTTTGGTTTCTCCAAGAAAAGAATCCTCTAAAAAGAATCTCATCTATTAATGTGATTATTAATCTGGAAAAAAAAACCGACTTCTCAATAAAATGAACCTATGACAAGACAGATGTAATAAACCTGGTTAGGATTTATGATGTGCCCAGGCAGCGTTTTGCAAAAGATAATGTTCCCCTGTAATGTTGATTTGCCGGATGAGAACCATGTAATTTATTCTGTCAATGTACATAAGAAATGTTATCTGTGTGGGGAATGACTGATGGCCTCATGAAAGCTGGCAGGGAAACAAATAAAACAATTTGGGCCTTAAAAATAAAAAAAAAGGATTTACCTTCTCAAAGATTAAGTGATGAAGTTCCAACTAGCAGCTGTAAAGTTTTGTGGACAATATATTGAATGAGGGACAGAGAATTTGAATGTCTGTAATATGCATATGTAACAATAGCAAGTTGGTAAGTAACTTTCTATCTGAGATCAACCAAACCATATCAATGAAGAAGAGATGCATCAGACTTCTGTTTCTTCCTCCTACTTGTTCCTATGGTCCTACAGTATGGAAATCAAACTGAACATGCAGTTTCATAATGACTATGAAATCATTTACACAGTTGTATCAATATTCAGAGTAGACACAGTTAGAGTAAAAACTCTGACCTCAATTGGAGTCTTCTTGTGGGAATGTAATACATGTACTTATATTGCCTTGGTTTTAATTTTAATTTTAATAACTCAGAATAGCATAACTGCTTTACATGGGCTATATTAGAATATCTTGATACTAGAGGACTTGAATAAGTGATTTTAAAGTCCCATTTTAGCACTAAATAAGCTTACAAATCTTAGTTAGTATTTCTCAAACTAGATTTTTGAGAAGCCCCAGAGGTGACTGGATATTTTTATAGAAAATACTTAAAAGGAATTTTATTTCTTAAAGACCCAGAACCGGTTGGCAATAACCTTTCTTGATTTTCAGCTTTTTATAGTAGTAGATATTTCTGCATACATTTATAAATTTAAACTTATCATATAAACTCCAAATATTTTACTCATTAAATTGGAGCATGAAAGATCATTCAAGGATAAAATTTCTCTAAAATTAGCTGAAAAACAAGGTCATCTTTGTTTTTAATTTTATTGAAAATCTTTTAATTTATCAAAGGAAGTTTAACACAGAGAAAAATAGCTCTCAGCAGGTTAAGAGGCTACCATTTCATTAACAGATTTATCTTTGTATGATACTGGGAAGGAATAATCACTGTTTTTTGTTTCTTTTGTTTTGCTTTTATGTAAAATATAATTTTAAAATTATTTATTCTGCTAACCTAATTTGTTAGGTGGATACATCTTTCAAAGTCCAAGCATATAACAGCTCAGTAAGATATAAGGCAAATGACGTGTATGGAACTTTAACAAAATTTTGAATATATTGAAAGCTCTTTATAACCCTAAAGTTTTATTAAGCTTCCCTGTACTTTTATAAATTTGGGGAAAACAGTTATTTCTCATGCAAGTCAATGAAGCTCATTATAAGGCTCATTACAGTAAAAATCAGATGATAAAAGATCATGGAGACATTTATAATTATGATATTATATATCAAGTCATTACCAATAATGTCAAGTGTTAGAGTTCTTTTTACTTACAAAAAGAACTACTGTGAAAACCTTACCTTGTGATCATGTGAGTCAATACTTCTTAATAAATTCCCCTTCATATACACATTTCAGACATAAAATGATTATTTTCCTCTTTTCTTCCTTTCTAAATCCATGTCCATACATTTGAAGTAAAGTGTTACAAATTAGGTATGCAATTGCTTTGATGTCTTTGAATGTCTTTGTAAAGTACAAAAGTTAAATTCTTTAAAACCTATGTGACCTATATAAAACATTTTGAAATTTAGAGGAATCAGAGAAAGATTTCTTTGAAATAGAAAATTGTTCTATCTCCTTGGGTGAACCACAGAAACTATGTTTCCTCACCAGAGGAAAGTTGTACATTTATCAGATAGAAGTTATTTATAGATTCCTTTTTCTGAGTATCTTTCAAGCATTGATAGCCTTCTTGCAAGGGTCAAACATTTAGCAAGGGTCAAACATTTAGCTTTCCTTAGTAATCTTAGCTTTTCTAACTTCCACTATCTAATTGTGTCAGCAGAATTTCAACTCACTGGAATAAGAACTTTTTGTTGTTATTATTGTTGTTGATTGCCACAATTCTGTAGCATTCTCTGTCTCTTCTGACTATAATTTGTTACATATTTTCAAACTATATATCAAACAGATATTCAGTAAGATACTCCCACATCAAGCTGCTGAAGCTCTCTCAACCTTGGTGCTGGATATAATGAGAAGCAGTAAGCTCCAATTGGAAGCTATGATATGAAACTAGTCCTCATTTAAGTTCTTACCTGAAATTTGCAATACCTATAAGAGTAAAAGAACACCTAAAAAGACAAATTATTTTAAAATGACTGTTCTAATAGACTAGCAAAGCAATAATAATAATAAGTAAAAAAACAATCTATCAAAAATGACATAGATACCTCAAAGTAATATGAGCTCACAATCCAAAACATGAAGAAGAAGAGTACCACAAGTAAAAAATAGAATCAGCAGACACAGAATATGGGACATGAATATTTTGGATGCTGAAATGATCAGATAAAAGATAAAAACAGGTATGTTTTGTGATGGTTAACATTGAGTGTCGACTGGATTGAAGGATGAAAATGTGGGTGAAGGGGAGAAGAAAAGCAAAGCACACTGCCATGTGTGTACCTACGCAACTGTCTTGCATGCTCTGCTCATGTACCCCAAAACCTATAATCCAATAAAAAATTAAAAAAAAAAAAAAAAAAGAAAGAAAAAAAAAAAAAAAGAAAATTATTGTTCCTGGGTGTGTCTGTGAGGATGTTAACAAAGCAAATTAACATTTGAGTTCCAAAATGGGAAAGGCAGACTCACCCTCAATCTGAGTGGGCACAATCCAATCAGCTGCCTGCCCTGACAGAATAAAAGCAGACAGAAGAAAGTGAAATGACTAGACTGGCTTAGCCTTTCAGCCTACATCTTTCTTCTGTCCTGGATGTTTCCTGCCCTTGAACATTGAACTCCAAGTTCTTCAGCTTTGGGATTTGGACAGGCTTTCTTCCTTCTCAGCTTGCAGATAGCCTCAAATTTTCTAAGATTACCCTGAGTGAGAGTCTTATATATTATAGAAAAAGAGCTAAAATTGTGGAAAACCAGACACAAGCTCTTCTCACACAAGTGGCTGACTTCAATGAAAGGTGCATGCACAGCCTTGCCAAGCATCTACTGTTAAAGTGAGGGCATTGATTGGAAAAGAATAGGACTCTGCAAGTTAGCATAAGGGTGAATGGGATGACCCTGATAAAGCTGGAGACACTGAGCTTATAAACTCTGATGAAACTTTTTTTTTTTTGCCAGAAGAAACAGCTTCCCCAACCCCAGTGATGGCAACATCCCCTCCCTGACACATGCTGCCATCAGCCTTTCCACATTTGTCTGAGGAGATAAACCCTGCACTGCCTGAGACAACTGTGATGGGCTCCCCTGAGTCAGTTGCCAGGCAAGATGATCTTGATTCTCTTCAAGATCCACCCCCTGTTTGCTTATAGACCTATAACTAAAATAAAGTCCTGGCAGGCCACTAGAGGTAAGGTTCAGAGTCTGACCCACAAGAAGGTATGCTACACTTCAAAAGAACTGCTTGTGTTTTCTAATTTATATAAGCAGAAATGTGGAGAACAGGGGCGGGATGAATACTAAGGGTGTGAGATAATGGTAGAAGGAAGGAACATAGAGTTGGATCAGGCTGAATTTATTGATTTAGACTCAAAAAAAGATTCTGAGTTTAATGTTGCAGCTCATGACCAGTTGTAAAAATAAGGATTGTTATTTTCATGAGTGTTTTCTCATTTAGTGAAGAACATATTTGAGCATGTATATACTTATACTAAAAACCAAAGGTCACTTTATTTCCTTTTACCTTTATCATGTGACATAGATTTATTGACTTCATATCAGCATTTAAGTGCCATTAACTTTATGTAATAGCATTTGGGTTGGGGATTGGTGTGCTTCTGGTTGTACAAAGGATAGTTGTATTCAGTTAAGTGTAATTATGACATTATTATCTTTATTTGAATATTATGTATGATTACAGGAGATGTATATGGTTCCAAATTGACAAGGGGTGAACTTGTGATTGTTAACGTTAAGTGTCAACTTGATTAGATTGCAGATGTAAAGTATTATTCCTGGGTGTGTCTGTGAGGGAGTTGCCAAAGCAGATTAACGTTTGAGTCAGTGGACTGAGAATGGTAGACTCACCCTCAACCTGGATGACCACAATCCAATCAGCTGCTAGCACTGACAGAATAAAAGTAGGCAGAAGAACCTGAAAAGACAAGACTGACTTAACCTCTCAGCTTACATCTTCCTTCTGTGCTGGATGATTCCTGCCCTCAAACGTTGGACACCAAGATCTTCACCTTTGGAACTCAGACTGGCTCCCTTGCTCCTCAGCTTGCAAATGGCCCATTGTGGGACCTCACCCTGTGATCATGTGAGTCAATACTCCTTAATAAACTCCCCTCTATATATACATATATCCTATTAGTTCTGTCCCTCTAGAGAACCTTGACTAATACAGTTTAACATGTCTAGATAAATGTAAAAGTAATAAAAGACATAAATATGACCCAAGAAAGTACTAAAATGACTGAGAAGATTCAAAAATAATTTCCAAAGTAAAATAAAGTAAACAAATAAAATTTAAAATGATTTGGACAGTTTAAAAACCAATTTGATTTCTGTGAAGGATGAAATATTTATCTACAAAATGTAGCATAATAAATTTCTTAGGATATATCACAGAAAAATGAAGTGTTTAAAATTGTTCCAAAATAAAAGTAGAAGTAGGAGACATGGGGAAAAGAGTACAAAGGCTCTATATATATTCAATTAGAGATCCAACTGGAATAAAAGAGAGAGGAAGATACACGATAATTTAAAAAGTAAAGGGTGATAGTTTGCTGGAAATCATAAAGCATTAATAATGAAAATCAAATAACCTAACAAATTCAAGTCTATAATTGATAGAGTGTATGTATGTGTGTGTGTATGTGTTTTTATGTTTGTGCATTAAACTGTAGCATAACAAAAAAAAAACAGTTAAGGACTTAAAAACATAAAAAAGATAATTTAACTAGCTAAATTCTCAAAGGTAACAATGAAAACTAAAAAGAGAGAAATAATATTTTCATGGTACTAAAAGTAAATGTATAACATTTAAAATTATTATTTTAAATAATAATTAACTTAAAAATAAATAAAAACTTAAAATTGTATAACAGCAAAGCTAACTTTTAGGAAGTTGCATAAAATAAAGACATCTTCAAGTAGTAAAGAGCTGAGTGTTTATAATCAACCAATTGTCACTAAGGAAATTGTCTAATAAACGTATTCATCCAAAAGGATGAGGACCAAAGTCAGACATTCTTAGAAGCTAAATTATTGCTAAGAAACAACAACAAAAACTGATAAATGTATGAGTAAATATAAATAAATACTGCCTGAATAAAATAATAATAATAATAATTTTTTAAGATTTAATGAGAAAGTTAAAATACTGGATAATTTTTAGTAATGTAGAGATCAGAGTAAAAATGTACTCATTTCCATATAACAAATTGCATAAAAGTAAAGAAATTTAAATACCTTTAGAATTTTTAATTATACAAAATGAAACATCTAGTATAACTAACAATTAAATAGAAAAATAATGTGATTATATAAATTTAACATTGTAAATAGGTAAAAAATTATAAAAAGGCTGCCTGTCTGCCCAAGAATAAGAAAAAAAATTTATCATACAAAAGATGGCAAAATAAGACAAAACAAAAATGGAAAAAATGAATAAATTAGAAGTTAAAACTAAAGTAGTAAAAAGAATTCAACATATGTCAGTATTAAAAAGTAAAAATCAAACTAGCCACTCTAGTTAAAAGGTATCAATGATCAAAATCCATGGAAGGTAAGTTTCACCAAGAAGAAACACTGATATTGAGTTTGTCATGAAGGATTTTTATTATGGGCAGTCCTTGGGGACAAGAATACTAGAAGGGAAAGAAGAAACAGGACTGGACACAACAAAGAGTTAGTTTCAATTCAGGGGCAATGACAGCCTTGGCTAACCCCATGGGGAGCTCTGGAACTAGCAAAGCCCTTTTGAGTTTTCATAAGTTGAGTTGTGATGTCCAAATTTGTACCATCCGTCAGTGGAACAAGGCTATCTTGTAAGAGGAATAAACTTACGTTCATTGCAACTTAAAGAGGCTGATAATATGGGTGTTTAATTTTAGGATATTATTAATTTTCTAATTATGATATTTACCTAGAATCTAGAAAAAGAGAAGAGAAAAAACACAAAGCAGCAGAAATAAGAAAATAATAAGTGTAAAGGCAGAAACCAATGAAATTAAAAACAGAGAAAATTTTAATAGAAAATCAATGAAACACAGAGATTGTTTTTTTGAAAAAAAATCAATAAAATTTACAAAATTCCACTAAGACTGACAAAGAAAAGAAGATAGAAGATACAAACTACTGATATCAGACATGAAACAGGGGCTATCACTACAAATGCTGAAGAATTTGAAAGAATAATAAATACTATGCACAACTATACCGATATAAATTTGATGAATTAAGACTGTATGTTATTGGTGGAAGAACAGAAACAGTAATCAATGGAACAAAATAACGAACCTAGAAAAGGAACCACAAAAATTGCCCAAAACTAGTCTTGGATAAAGCTGCAGAAGCAATTCAATGGAGAAAGAATAGCCTTTTCAGCCAGTAGTGTTGAAGCAATTAGATATCCTTTGGAGGTGTGGGCAGGGAGCGGGGAGAAGAACTCAACCTAAGTTTCCCATCTCATACAAAAATTAACTCTCACTGAAACTCAGATTTACATGTAAATTGAAAAGCTATAATTTTAAAAAATATAGACAAAACTCTTCAGAATCTAGAACTAGGCGAAGAGTTCTAAACTTGACACCAAATGTATGATCAATCAAAGAAAAAGAATCAAATACACTAGACTGATCAAATAAAACAGAAAGACTTGGATACTGAAAAAAGACCTTGTAAAGAGGATTCAAAAAGCCACAGATTGGGAGAAAATATTTGCACACTACGTCTTACAATGAACTATTTTATAGAATTTATAAAGGACTCTCAAATCTCAAGAGTAAACATTAATAATATTAGTTATAATAATAAATCCAGTTAGAAAATGTTCAAAGTTGTGGACAGTTATTTCACCAAAGATGATATACACATAACAAATAAGCACATAAACAGATGTTTAGTACCCTGAGCCAGAGAGTACAAATGAAAATGACAGTGAGATATCATCACGTACATATCAAAATGGCTGAGTTAAAAATAGTGACAACACCAAATGTTGGCAACAATACACATCACTCATTAGGTGCTGCTGGGATTAAAACTCTGGATAAATGGTTTGAGTTTTTCTTATGCTAACTAAAACATAGATCTAACATACAGCCCAGTAATTGTTCTACTAGGCATTTATCTCAGAGAAATTAACATTTTTGTTCACATAAAAACCTATATATTCATGTTCACTGCAGCTTTATTTGAAATAGTCAAAAATGAGAAACAACTAGATTTCCTTTCTGAAGTGAATGGTTAAAACACTGTGGTACACTTGTGTCACAAAATACTACTTACAATATAAAGACATGAATTATTTGTATACCAAACAACTTGAATGAATATCTTGAGAATTACACTGGGTGAAAAAGCCAATCCCAAAGTTTACCTACTGTACCATTCCATTTATATTACATTCTTGAAATGACAAAGTTATAGAATTAAATACAAGATTACTGTTTTCCAAAGGTTAGAAATGAGAACAAGTGAGTATAGAGGATATAAGGAAGGGGTGCGGCTATCATAGGGCAATAGGCGTGAAGGCAGAGTAATGCCTCCCCCAACTCTCCACCAAGATATCCACGTTCTAATCTTCTAAAATTGTGAATATATTATGTTACTTCGTAAGGAATAATTAATATTGCAAATAAAATTAAAGTTGCTAATTAACTGACCTTAAATGAAACAGATGATCTGGTATCGTCTGAGTGGGTCCAATGTAGTCACGAGGGGCTTTTAAAGAGTGTGGAAGACGAATGCTGAACAAGCAGCGTCACAGCGATAGAGTGTGAGAAAGATTCTACAGGACACGGCTGGCTTTGAATATGGGAGGTGCCCAAGAGCTAAGGAATGCAGGCAGCTTGGAGAAGCTAGAAAAATTAAGAATATGGATTCTTCTCTAGAGGTGCCAGAATAATACACAACCTCACTAACACTTTTATTTTAGCCCAATGAGACCCATCTCAGATAACGGACTACTAGAACCGTCGGATAGTAATTTGTATTTTAAGCCATTAAGTTGTGGTAATTTTTTTAAAGCAGCTATAGAACAGAATTATAGAAGGATCCTGGGAGGGATGGGAATATTCCGTATCTTGACTGTTTTGGAAGTGCTGGAAGATGTACTGTTGGGGAAAACTAGGTAAAGAGTGAATAAGATTTCACTGTATTATTCTTATAACTACATGTGAATCTATAGTTGCTTAAGAATAAATGTTAAAAGTATGTAATTATTATATATAAAATATACAATTATTTAGATAAAATACATAATATATAAATACATGTTTAAAATATATATTAGGGAATATATAATAAAAATATACATATACATTTACTTACATATATGTATAAATATATGTATGTATGCACATATAAAGCATATAAATATATGTATACATAATATAAAGATACATGTATGTCAATAAATATGTATATATATTTGTGCAGGTTTGTCACATAAGTAAACTAACCTATGTATACATGTATATACATATATTTAAATGTTAAACACATTTAACTATTAAATTAACCTATGTACATGTATGTATATATATTTATACATGTGTATAAATATGTGTATATACACATATATTTATTTATATATGTATATTTTATATTCCTTAATAATTTGAAATATATTTAACTTTAGACTTTTATTTATATTGTGCCTAATTTATCTTTTCTTAGAAATCATTTTCTTAAGCTTGTGACTTAATATGAATCACAGCATTATGTCAATCACAGTCTTGATGTTAAAACATTTTCCAAACAATGAGTCCAATGTAATAAATTGATACTGTCCTGTTTTAATGAAAAAAATTATCTCTACATGTATATTTTCATAATTGTATTTTATAGAGAGAAGTACTGTAATTTATGGGAGAACTAAGTTCCGAAATTGTATGACTTTTTTAACTTTGAAGTTTAGAGGTGTTTGTGCAGGTTTCTTTCATAGTTAATTGTGTCATAGGAGTTTGTTGTACAGATTATTTTATCACCCCAGTATTAAATGTAGTACTTATTATTTTTCCTGATCCTCTCCCTCCTCCCAACTTCCACTTTCCAAAAGGCTCCAATGTGTGTTATTCCTTTCTACATGTCCATTTGTCCATCATTAGGCTCATATTTACAAGTGAGAGCATGCATTATTTGGTTTTCTATTCCTGTATTAGTTTGCTAGGAATAATGGTGTCCAGTTCCATCCATCTCCCTGCACAAGACATGATCTCATCCATTTTTATGACTGCATAGTATTTCGTTGTTTATATGTACCCATATTTTCTTTATCCAGTCTATCATTGATGGGCATTTAGGGTGATGCCATGTCTTTCCTATTGTGAATAGTGCTTCAGAGAACATATGGATGCATGTGTCTTTATAATAGAACAATTTATATTCCTTTGGATGTATACCCAGTAATCAGATTTCTGGGTCAAATGGTAGTTCTCTCTTTAGGTCTTTAAGGAATTACCACACTGTCTTTAAAGCCAGCCTCAGCCTTTGCTATCTAGTTTATTTAACCTTGTACAAATTATTTAAACTTTATGAGTCTCAGTTTTCTCACCTATAAATTGAGGATAAGGACAGGATGCCTTAAAGTGTTTGCTCATGGTTACATTAGTAAATAGCAGTGCTATTTTTGTTAAAAATATGCCACATCTGTGTTTATATCAGGTGAAACTTAAGAATATAGTGTTTGAATTATTATTGTAAAAAAATGAATGAAAAGCTATATGTACCAATCCCTGCCTACATAGCCCAAATTTTAAATTTTTGTAAGCTTCATTAATAAAGGTTTTCAAAGTAGCTCCAAAAGATTCTTTCCTAATTTACCTTTTTTTTATAATAAGAAGACCAAATGATTTAGGGCATTTAGAAAGTGACTTTTGACTTCATGATAGGTGACATGTTTGGGGTAGATTTCTACAAATATTCTGAAGGTAACAGGATTCTCTGTGTTTATTTTCTACCATTTTTGAATGCTTCTGATTTACAGAGAAAGTTCTTTATTTTTTTCTGGTAACGTTCAGCTTCTTCAGAGATCAAGTAAAACCTACTTCCTAGTAGAAAGAAGGTAAATTGTGGGTTACCTTCGTGGAGACTACAGGCCCCTGAGACTCACATACTTTTCTAAATATCCAATATCATTTTAGAAAATAAAAGATATCCATATAACTTTAATTGTAATTTGCAGAGCTACAAATTAAATGTTAAGCCTTTTCAGAGATACAGGTGGAAATCATTAAAGTTCCCTTTGGGAAAGGGAAAACACAATAAACAGTAATTTTATTTCTAGCTTGTCTTCATTAATTCATGGGGTCTTCGATGCCATTGCATTTTACAGGATGGTACCATTCCATAGGGCATGATTATTCTGTATTCAAAACTAGAAATAGTACATGAAAATCAGTTCTTTGACTTTTGAGACGGGTGCAGAAGCTTGCATAAGAGAGAATCCAACTGAAATTTAATTACTTCTCCTCTTTTTCCAATGATTATGGTGAGAAAACAAATTCAGTAAGATGGAGAAACCCAGATAAAATGAGAGTTTCTCACACTGGGGCATTATCTACTGGAATCTGTGCCTAGTTACACAAGGGTGCATAGATGGTTTTGAGTCCCTGGTCCTCCTGGGATGCAGACATCCTAATATGTGCAGTTGACTTCACCTTCATCAGTACTAATATTGTGCTCAAATTGGCAGGAGGTTAAAATTATTATTTAAAACTATCAGCTAGTGTGAACAGTGAACAAGAAAATAGGTCACAGGAAAAGGGCTGGGAAGATACAGTATAGTTATAAACGCCTTTGAGGCAGAGGGAGATTGTGATAATGACAGCAGGACAGTGACTTAACATATTCAGAAAACTTATATAACTTTGTAGTCTGGCGATAATAAAGACAAATGAACTAAAATACCCCTTTGCCTGTCTTGACATAGAAAAACAAAGTGACTACTGTGTGCGAACACCAGGAGTGATGGACTAGGCTGTGTCATATATCTACCTCAGGGAAGAAGAAGTTGAATGAAGGAAGAATAGAGCTATATAATCAATTATTTGCTGCTGTAGCCTGGACCTTGCTAGCTTCGACATTCCTTCACTTCCTTTAGTCCATAACAGATTCAGAAAAATATCATAAGAAATCCATTGAACACTAGCAAGCTTATTTTTATGATGGGAATCCTTCTGTACTTCCAGGTTGGCCTGTAACTCAGGGAATCCCTATAGATAGAAAGCTCAAAGTCACCTCTGCCCTGGAACTTTGAGGGTAACATTGAATCTTGGAGAAGATTATTTACAGTCAACCATTCAAAATGCTACATTTCACATCAGAACCTTCTGTACAGTTTTTTGAAAGCGTGAGAAGTCAGAAAGACTTGCTGCATTCACAGTTTTTGTGTATTTGCTTCCAGTGTACTTTATAGAATTTTCCTGGTGAATAGTAAAAGTTCTAAAAGCATAACTTTTTGTGGTCCTTGTTATACTCAAGCAGAAAACTTACTTTTATCAAGTATAAGACTAGTTCTGGGACTAACCTATAAATGAAGCAGTTTATCCCAATACAGTCACCTTCATTTGCCCTTTTATCCAAGAGATATTGAGTGCCCACTAAATGCCAGATCCTATTAGAGACACAGGGAGCTGTTCAGCGAGCATATCCAAGTATTCCCATGGATTTATATTTCTAATGGGTGAAATATACAAGCAACTATATATATATATATATATATATATATATATATATATATACTCATATATATGTCAGTTTATAGTAAATGCTATGATCAACAATTATAGTAATAAAAATGATAGTAATAGTAATAAACACTCATGTATTCATATAGTACTATATGCCAAATATAGTTAATGTTTTTAAAAACACTATTATTTTTAATTCATCTTTAAGAAAGGTACTGTTAGTATTTTCATTTTAGAGATAACAAAAATGAGGCACTGAAAGATTAAGTAACTTGATCAAGTTGGTAACTATTAAGTGGCAAATCCACTTAGTGGCAGCTATTAAGTGGCAAATCTTCCAGTCCAAGGATACTGGTTCTAGATTTTAATGACGAATAAAGAGAGGTTAAGGGGGATTTAGAGAGATGGAGGGTGTGCTCTTTTATATAAAGTGATTTGAAAAGTTCTCCCTGTGACAAGATACTTGATCAGAAATCTGAAGGGAATACACGAAATCATGGAAATGTGGCTAGCACACAGGTGTCCAAGACTTCAGGAGTCAGACAATGTGGGACTTAGAGGCTTTAGCAAAGTGTCTTGAATCATATGGGAGTCATTAGAGCTTTGAAAAGAAATTAACTGATGAGGAGTATTTCTAAATATTTAAGTTTTTAACTTTTAAAGAAGGTGCATAATATGCTGGTTAAAAATATTTGGCTATTATCAAGGGAACAATTTACCTATGTTACTTTGCTCTGCCCTCAATAAACCTATTCAGCATTTTTATATTATGCTTAAAGAATTTCATATATTATTTCACTACATCTCATAATTTAGTTCATCATGTTAAAATAATGGAGTTTCCTAACTTGCCCATTGTCACACATTTAGGAGCAGAGCAAGTACTAGAAAATCAGTTTTCTTAAATTTTAGTAATCTTTATATTAGTTTCTTCCTTTTCTATTTTTCCTGTTTTACATTTTATTTTTGTTCATCTAAATTTATGGCTGCTAGATAATACCTTCATAGGTAACATTGCCTGAGGTATAAAAGAAAATGCTGCTGAAAGATATTCAACTGCTTATAGATTTGTTAGAATGCAAAGATTTTGGCCAGGCGCAGTGACTCAAGCCTGTAATCCCAGCACTTTGGGAGTCCAGGGTGGGTGGATCACGTGAGATCAGGAGTTTGACACCAGCCTTGCCAACATGGTGAAACCCAGTCTTGATTGAATATACAAAAATTAGCAAGGCATGGTGGTAGGTGCCTGTACTCCAGGAGGCTGAGGCACGAGAATTGCTTAAACCCAGGAGGTCGAGGTTACAGTGAGCCAAGAACATGCCACTGCACTCCAGCCTGAGTGATAGAGTGAGACTTTGTCTCAAAAAAAAAAAAAAAAGAAAGAAAGAAAAAAGAAAAAAAGCAAAGATTTTATGTAACACAGGGTTTCCCTTGGGTGTTTATAGACAAATGAACCTTTTAATAGAGTCAGCTTAACTCCACACGCTCAGAAACTTACCATTTTTGCTTTCTTTGCAAGTGTTAGAA